AACAAAGGCTCCCTCAACCAAAGTTCTCCCTGCAGCAGTTTCACTAGAGATCAAGCCAAAGGGAGCGGACACAGTGGTGCCATTTCCCCACTGCTTGGCAAGGTTCTGAAAGATGTTTTTGGGGAGCTGTGGTCTGTCATCTTCCCTTTCTCTGCTGGACAGGAGACGAAGCCAGAAGACCAGGACTGTGCCTCTAGAGAGCCGATAAACAGGACTCCTTCCATGGGGATGTTTACTTTGCAGAAGTGATGTCAAAATTCACTAGGGTCAAGGCTGGGTCCAGAGCTTTCAGGGGACAGTCTGAACATAGTCATCATTCGTGCTTTTACTTAAAGACGCCACACATGAAAGGCAAAGACATTTTCAACGCAAACAGTTGAAGACTCAAAGTTTTCTGCCAGACTCCATAGATGAGCTTCCAACTTAGCTATGCACAGGGCATATTCTACCTTCAGCTCCACTCCAGCCCCACCAAGCCCCGCCCCACCCAGCCCCAGACCCACTCCAGCCCCGCCCCAGTCCCACTCCGGCCTGACCCAGCTCCACTCCAGCCCCACCCCAGCCTCACCCAGTCCCACTCCCACAGGCAATACAGGCAAAGAGAATGCTCCATTTCCAAACTGCCAGGGTGTTATTTCTCCCACAAATAAAAATAAGATGCAAGAATGGAAGGGAAATGAGTTTCTTATGGTGCTTAAAGTGAAATCACAAAAGCAAACTTGTTTACTTGGGACAGCTCCGACTGCCCATCGCTCATCGTGAGATACATCCACAGAGCTGTAATCTTGTTCTCACCCACTGAGTGTTTGCTTCTCCCCACATTTCCTCAGGCCGTCCTCTTTGGAGGCTGGCAGGTGGTTCCCTTTTACTTCATGCTCTAATACATTTCTCTCTCAAGATCTCACATACGGCCAGCTTGGGACCGCTGAGCTTAGGGGCTACCAATCAGTAGGAAAATGCTACAGCAATTTCTTTTCTCACCAAAAGAATGATGAGACTTTTAAGCTTATCAAACCCAGGTTGGGAGTGGGGGAGAAGTCCAGAATTCGTTTTCATTTTGAGTCTCCAGGCTGTTTTCAATGCTTTGGTTCTCTCTGTTGCATCTGGTTTATTGAAATGAGGAGAAATTCCAAAGAGCTGAAGCAGCCAAAAGGCCCAGGACAGTCAACACTCTTGGATCAGGGCACTTGGTGTGTGATGGTATTTGGTTGTATGAAAAACGGAATTTATCTATTTATTTATTGGTATTTTTAGTTTTGTTGAGACAAGGTATCACTGTGTATCCCAGGCTAGTCTCAAACTCATGATCCTCCTGCCTCAGCCTCCCAAGTTCTGGGATTACAGGTACCTGAGTTTCAAGAAAATAGACTCTTTGTCCTGAACTAAACTCTGAGGAACATCTTTCCAATTGTGGAATTGGTGTGATAAGAAATGGCAGGCTGCTGAGAATAAGTGTCCCTGATGTCTAATGTAGACTTTCTTCCTAAGTAGTCTTCAGGCAATGGGATTCAAGCAGCTTTGGAATTGCCCGCAATGGAGCACATTGCACAGCCTACAGATAGCTCAGTAATTTGGAGAGTGACCTTTCCAGGTGCCTCAGCTGATCTAAACCTCTTCTAGAAGCTCCTCTTATTTCTGCTTCTTCAAGACAGGTGATCTGGTCTCAGAGTCTTCTCTGCAGTTTGTCTTTTCTGAGAGGGACTCTTGGCTTTCATTGCTTACTCTGACAGACTGGGAGGGGCCTAGTGAGTCTGGTCAGTTTCAGGGACTTCCTGGGGCTATTTGAGTTGTTTGCCTTCTTGATTAAGGAGCTTCCTGCAAGATGTGATGTTTCAGTCTGGTAGGAAACTGTTGCCCAACAGTCACCTCAGAGGCTGGCTCAGAGGAAGCTCACCTGGGAGCACCCTTAGGATCAGTGCCCATGGAGGAAGAGATGGGAGCAGGAATGAGCAAGAGAAGCTAGTGTCTGCTCAGTGTCAATAGCAGAATCAACCAAAACCACAGGGACTCAGTCCAGGCAGTGGCCTACTGCCTTCATTTACCAACTGCAATGGTCCAGGCAGTGTTCCGCTGCCTTCCTTCACTTATCCACTGCAGTGGGCATCAGTGGAGGGACTGTACCAAGTGCAAAGTGGTTCTGTGCCAGTGGCAGCACCGTCAGCAACTGGGAAGCTAAGTGCTTTCATTCTAAGAAGGGATCTGTGTGGCATGTGACAGCGTCCTCACAGCGTGCCTTCAGTTTCTCCCGAGAAAAATCTTGACTCAGCTGGCTAAGACAAAGAAAGGGACCAGGGATACTGCAGCCCCAGGCTGGTTAGCACAAGGGCTCTACAACATTTGCAAGGCCCTTTCCAACTTTCTGATCTGGTGGCTTAAGACATCACTTTCTCCCCCCCCCCAGGCTGTTTCTGCTCAGAGACACAGAAGGTGGAATAAGGGGTAACTGTATGAATGAGAAAACATGCCGGGCCCTGTGACTTTTATGTTGTAGAGAATAGTTACTCATGTCTTTCATTTTGTTTTGATAATATGTGTCACAGTCCTTGCCATTTTAACTATTCATAAGTGTTCATAAGTGTACAACTCAATGTCTTTAAGTGTAGTGGGTATCTACTCTGCCCATGACCTTGGACTATCTAGCCTGATAGAGCCGGTGCTTCTTGTCTGCCTACATGACCTCTTAGAAGGTAGGAGGGAGGGGGATCACACCCTCTTGGGTGATGAAGACCATGTGAAGCATCATATGATCCAGCTTTCCAAGGACTCTGCAACTGGATTTACTGTATCCTGTATTGGAGAGTGTATTTCCCCCTTTCATACCTTAGTAAATCCTTGATACCTCTTAAACTGAAGCATGTGGGTTTCTCATTACATTTAAGTGCATTCACAATGCAATATAACCATCTGTCATAGTTGGATTTTTGTCAGTTAGATCCAAACCTAGACATAGCTGGGGAGTGGGAATCACAATTGTGGAATTGCCTCCACCATCTACAGTTTAGCATCTGCTTTCCCTATCAGAATGTATCAGACATAAGTGTTGGCTCTGTTCCACAAGGGAACTGATTTTCATCTGTTGACTTCCCTGGAGTCTCACTGCTAAGGGAAGGACCTGGCATAGGGCAGGCACTTAATAAATCTGTTAGTCCAGCATTTTTCACAAGAGAAAGCTGGGACTCCACACAATGAAGTAATCTACTCAGGGTCACATAGCTCGGAAGTAGCTGAGTTGAATAGTTAAATGCTCTGTGATGTTTCATAACATTCAAAAACCCATTTAGCAAAGAGACAATACCAGTGGCCCCTCTCCAGTCTCCCTCCCTCCCACTGATTGAAGACAGGCATTTTAAATGAGCAGGGATTCCATGCTGGAGGACTTCTGGAGATTGTGGGCCATTGGCAAGAGCATTCAGACAGTGTTAAGGGAGCTGCTAAGCTATCTCTATGTTGGGTTTGTCCTGGGGCACAGAGGACAATGCCTGTAATTAAATGCAGACAAGCTGTGCTAGGCTGGCACTATGTCAGGAAGGCATCTTGTCCACATGGAACAGATTTAAAGAATCTGAAATGGTCAGGGAGTATAACAGTGTTGGGTATAAAGTAAACACATAGTCATCCCGCGTGGACTTGCCATGGCCCCTGACATTCCCCTTTGGTCCACACGATTGTGCATACAAGAGCCTCATAGGGGACCAGGACAGATACTCTGTTTGCAGTGGACCTGCTGTGCTTCATTGTGATGAGAATATCTAGGGTTTTGTTGTTGGGTTGGTTTCATATTGCTTCATCTTAGTGAATAACATCTCTTTCTCAGGAAATCCAGCAGATGTGGCTGGATGTGATCATGTTAGCCAGTAAGGCCCACAAATGTGTTTTTCTCTTGCACTTGAGAAAGCTGTCTTGTAGGCCCTCTCTCTCTGCACAAGGTGTTGGTGGCCTTGGCAGAGTGTGGCTTTGGGATCTGGAGCCATAGAGGGAAACTAGCTAGCTCATTTAGAAGGAGGAGGCACAGGGCTCTGAGTAGAGGTTGAATCCTGTAGGCTGGAGCCATACCAAGATGAACCCTCACAGGGTTGGAGCCAGGGGCAGGCCAGGGCAGCTCTTGAAGGTACAGGGTCCTGATGGCTGTCATGCTTGGATCCGTTGTGAGAATTGAGCAAGAGAAGTCCATGGCACACTAGCCCACTGCTCAGCAAGGTATTGGCTTAGAACAGGCCTCGGAGAGGAAGCTTTGAAAGGGTTGGGTTGTGAGAGAGAGAGGCCTGTGATGGTCAAAACACCTTCTGTTAGCAATGTCTCGCCTTCTTACTCCGTAGCCCAGGCTGGCCTCAAACTTACCATCTTCTCTCATCCTCCCGAGTGCAAGAGCATACCTGGGTCAACAACTTACTACTGAGTGATTAATTTTTAATATGACTATATGCTAATATCCACACTGACATTTCTGAGACAGCATCTTGTTCTATAGCCCAGGATAGTCTTGAGATCTTGATCTTCCTGCCACAGCCTCTTGAGCGCTGGGCTTACAGCCTGTCCTACCATACATGGGTTGCTTACCTTTTGTGCTGATTTGGAGCGTAACATCTGATGGATAGAGAGCACCTTTAGTGGTGAATCATACACTTCCTTACAGAATCATGCATATATAACTATTTAAGAAATACTGGTGGTTTCTTGAAATTATTCAAGCCTATCAGATTTGCTGGTGGAGAAATGTCCAGGAGCTAGCTAGCTTAGACTTACGGTTAACAGCATAAGTGTACCTCAGAGATGCATGGGGTTGGCTGGCATAGTCTTGACTATTTTACATGGAAATTCTTCCAAAGTCTACCGAAAAGCTGACCGCATCCTGCAGCTTCTGGCTGTCTCATTTCTCAGAACTGTGCCACTTGCCACACTTTTGTAGCCATGTGGGCTCATGACCCCACCCCATGTCCCCCAGACCTGGTGCCTGCTGATGGGTGGCATGGTGTCCTTCCTCATGGGTGCAAGGAGATCAGTGCTCACGTGTTTCATGCTCCCTGCACTGGTGTCCTGCTACTGCTGGGGAGAGACCTTGTGGAATTCCTTCCTCCTGGCTTCCATTCTCCGATACGCCATTGGCCTCAACGGTACCTAGCTGGTCAACAGCGCTGCCTACATGTATGGAAATGGGCCCTATGACAAGCATATCAGCCCTTGGCAGACCCCGCTTGTCTCTCTGGGGACCACTGGCAAGTGGGGTGTTGAGAGCCAATGGAGGAAAGGCAGTCTGGATGTTATTGACTTTGTGGGAGGGAAGGTTTTATGACTATAAGAAAGAGAGTGGAGGAGTATAAAGACATTGAACTTTGGTCTTGGCATCCTAACTCTTGACAAGTTAGCAGAGCGCTCTGATTTATGGTTTTCTTTTCTGTCAGGTGGGAAATAGCAACATCTTCCTTGTAGAGCATACAAACTGCTCAGTGCTGTGCTGGGGCAAAGAAGACAATCAATAAATAGTTTAATAGTCACTTTCATCATGAAAATTTCCCTACAGAAGCAGCAGTTGCTTTTCTCTCAGTCCTGACTACTCCAGATCTGGCTATCCAATCGTTTGTCAGAAAAACAAAAACAAGTCTTCAAACAGGCAATGGCAAGAGAGGAGGCTCATGGGACCACAATTAGCTAAACTGAAGACCAGTGCAGAGTCCAAGTTAGGTACATCCTGGGCCCTCCATTTGCTCTCTGGGCACTATCTGGCTCCACAAGTTCTGTGTTCTTACGTGTAATAAGACACCAAGCAGCCCTCCCCTCCTCTCTGGGTCACTGGGGACTGAGATGAGTTAATACACAGTGCTTAGCATGAGGCAGGCCTTCCGTAACACAACTGTCTTTAGTGCTGGCTTTATGGTCTTAGGTGAGTTGCTTGTTCCTTCTGTGCATTTCTGCCCTCATTTGAAAACAGAGACAATCATCACAGTTAGCAGAACAGCATGAGGGTAATAGGCATTAATACTGAGCCCTCAATGCTCAGTGTGCAGTCAGCAACTCATTATTAGCTGCACCTCTCCAGCTGCAGCTCAGGCTCTTTGGTAAAGCTGAGCATCAAGCAGAGATCAAGCCAGGAAGGGAAGGTCTACCACCCGGCAGGAACTGTCTCTGTCACTTGGTGGTGAGTTACTGTTCCCGTTTCATCAATCATCCAATTAAGATCCTGGGGGTCCTACCGTCTTGTCAAGTGTGTTGACAGCAGCAGTATGAGGTGGCATAAACAGAGCTATAGCTGTGCAGTCACTGTCAGCAGAGGGAAGGGGCTTTGGCTACGGGGGGCATTTTCTCCCCTCTGCTGCTTTCTCCTCTCTCCTTGTATCTTGTGTGGGCTAAAGTAGAAGAGCTACATCCAGTGTCAAATCTGGGCATAAACAGAAGTGGGGGACAGCATAGAGTCCTGTGTTTTGCATAGGCACATGTGGGTCAGGCAACCAAACAGCATGGCTATGGCACAGGTCCTAAAGAACTGGACATTTGCTTTAAGTCTACCCAGACCCACAGTGAAGGCCCAGGCACAAAATAAAAAATAATAACTGTAATTTAACAATAAAAGATAAAGGGGAGCAATGGGGAATCTGAGCTTCTCCACAGTTGACAGTAGTCATTATGTGAGTATGCTTTCCACTCCTAATGCCCAGGAGGAAATGTATGTCTTTAAGAAACATGAATGTGCTGGGCACTGGTGGCACATGCCTTTGATCTCAGCACTCAGGAGGCAGAGGCAGGCGCATCTCTGTGAGTTTGAGGCCAGCCTGGTCTACAGAGTGAGTTCCAGGACAGGTTCCAAAGCTATACAAAGAGACTATGTTTTGAAAAACAAAACAAAACCAATCAAACAAACAAAGCCCACAAATGTCCTCAACATTATTCATAACAACTAAAAAGAAGAGCCCAAATAGTGATCAATGACAGAGAGCTGTGTACAATGCCACATTCATCCAATGAATTGCTATTCATCAATCAAAACAGGACTGGGGAAATACCTCAGCCAGTAAAACTGCCTGGTGTGCACATGGACAACCCAAGTTCAATTCCCAGACCCACAGCAAAAGGAGAGAATCAACTCCCTAAAGTTACCCTCTGACCTCTACAAGGGTGCCATGGCACGTGTGTGTACAACCCCATCTCTCTGTACACACAAATACACAGCTAGCCAAGGCAGTCAGATCCACAAAGAGAAACTAGGGCCAGTGGGGATTGAAAGGAGGTTGGGGGTACTAAGGATTGTGGGGCAGTTCTTGAGGAATACCAAAAATGGCCAACTCTATGAAATATTAAAATCATTATATTTGTTCTTCAGAAGTGGAAATTCTGCAAATTATAACACAATGAAGCCCTTTCTTAAAGGAAATTAACTGATCATGGGGGAAATGAAAATTAATACCAAAAGGGGGTAGTGCTTCACTTTAGTTAGAATGACTGTTTTCAGAAGATGAATTGGTGTTGGCGGGAAAGAGAACCCTTGTACACTGTAGGGAGGACTCCTTCCTCCTACCTTCCTCCTTCCTTCCTGTCTCCTTCCTTCTTCCCTCCCTCCCTTCATCTTTCCCTCCTCCTTCCTTCCTATCTTCCTTTTTCTCTCCCCCTCTCTTTCTTCTTTCTTCTATTCTTTCTTTCCTCCTCCTCCTTGTGTAAATGAGTTTAGCCATTGTAGAAAACAAGAAAGGTTTTTTTTTTTAAAGTTAAAAACCAGAATTACCATAAAATCAAGCAAGCCTACAAGTGTGTGTATATCCAAAGGGAATGAAATAATTGCTGAAGAGACATCTGCACTCCCATATTTATTGAAGTGCTATTTGCAACAGTAAGACTCTGAATGGAGGGTTTCCAGAGATAATATGCTACATGAGTGAGTAATGCACAGTGCTCTTCAGCCTTAATGAAGAAGGGCACTCTGTCATACACAGTGAACTTGAGGGCTGTAACACATCAGGTGCAGAAAGACAACACTGCAGCATCTTGTATGTAAGCTGAACTTCAAAAAGTGGAGCTCAAAGAAGCAGGGACCAAAACAGGGTTCCCCGGTGCTGGAAGATATAGGGAGGGTGAGAGGTGTTGGACCACACACACACACACACACACACACACACACACACGCATTCCCCCACACAGCACACACATACCACACACCACACACACACACACACACACACACACACACACACACACTTCCCATCGAAAGAAATGAACTAAAAAGTTCTGTTGTATAATATGGTGATTAAAGGTGTCAGCAATGGACTATGTTCTTAAAATTGTTGGTAGTGGTTTTGTAGTTTCTACCACAAAAAAGCAAGCATAGAGGGAATGTATAGGTTAATTACCTCAGTTTAGTCATTCTACAATGCATATATATTTTCAGCATGTGTTGTTATATGTGATACATATATTTTTTGTTATTTAAAAACTTAGCAGAAGAAAGACAAAGAAAATCAAATGACGAAACTCTCAGGTCTCTCTTAAAGATGACTCTTTGGCAACTGCAAGAGGAAAACAACTCAGCAGAGACTGGAATAATGTTCAGGAGCAGATATTTAAACGTCTAACTCTTCTTTAATTCACTCACCTGTTTGAACATTTCATTTCTCCCACCCAAGCTTGAAGGAAGTCTTCCTCCTGTAATCACTCCCGCCCATGGAGACTACTTTCCTTTTATGGATACATGTCAAAATAATGACCTATTGTCAGCCCGGTAGCATTTGCCTTGAGAAGGGCAGCCCCAAGGGAGCAGCATCCCATCCACCATCCACAATGGAAAGCTAGTCTTGTGGTGCTGCTGAATAATGGTGGTTATTTTCTGTTTAACTGAGCCTGTCTTGCGACTGAGTGGGTTTCCGAGGGCTGGAGCCAAGTCCTTTGCTCAAACAGTCTGAAACAGTCTTAAACAAGGCAGCGCCTAAACGGATAAAACTTCTATGCAGCCGTCCATGTTCATTGCTGCTCAGTTAGCAACATCCAGGAAACAGACAGTCTAGATGTCCATCAACAAATGGATAAAGAAATGTGGTCCAAATACACAGTGGGATTTTATAAGGCGACACGGCAAAGGGAAGTCATGACATCCACAGGAAAATGATTGGAGCCAAAAACGATAAGCAAAAGAAGCTAAACTTAGAAAGACAAATATCACATATTTTATTTTATATGTAGAACCTAGATTTAAAATAATATGTATGCACAGATGTGTGTTTATGTACATGTCAGTCATAAAACTGGAAAAGGGGATCGTTAGAGGAGGGGAGATTTGGAGGGAGGGAGGGAGGGAGGAAGGGAAAGGAGTAGGCAATCGGGGACACTCAGTAAGAAAGCAAAGAGGTGGCTAACTGGGGGGGGGGTCCAGCTGGAGCAAGGCGGAGGCTAGGAGAGAAGGCTGTGAGGGAGGGGACATTGAGAATTAAATGATGACACGTATCATAAAGATGTTATAATGAAACCCACTACTTTGTCTGCCAGTCTAAAAAATGAATCAAAAACTAAGGTCCCCATGCAGGGAGGTAGCAATGGTGTGAGGTCAAGGCACACTTTGTTGCCCAGGTGAAGGCTCCCACAGTTACCAACACGCATTTCCCTCTGACCACTCTGGGAGTGAGTTTGGCTTAAATTTTTACCCAACCCCCTGGTTGTGGACTTCATGTGCTTCCTGGGACCGGCCACTTGCCGCAATTGCACCACCAAGCAGATGACTGCGGCCCACAGAGCCAAGACGGGCCTGAACCCTTCGGAATGCTGTCCATGCGAGGAGCTTTTGTTTCTACAGTTCTCTTGTTCGTTGGCTTGTAGGAAGGGGTAGAAGGTGGGGGAGAGGATGAAATAGACATGGTCTGGGAAGTTTTATTTGCCTCAAATAGTGTCAGCTACAACTATTAATTAAAAAAATAAGTCAACAGTAAGACTATGATTCAATACTAGGATGTGGAAGTGTGATTCAGTCACCACAGCTATGTCAGCAAACACACTTTGTGATGTATATGTGCTCAGACATATTAACCGGGACAGGAGGGCATGGAATTGCTTTGGTGTGACCCAGGAGAGCATTTCTTTTCCTTCTCATCCATGAATGCAGCATTGCTTCTAATCACGCTGTCTGGAGGAGCGGAGACGCAGGGCGAAGCTGCATCTGTGACAGCCATGCTCCCGGATGGCAATTCCCATGGTGTGTACAGTCAAAAGTTTTAAAAAGATGAAGATATAGAAAATGGTCTTGAAGCTGGGCATGATGGCACATGCCTTTAATCCCAGCACTCAGGAGGCAAAGGCAGGTGCATTTCTGTGAGTTCGAGGCCAGTACTGTTACACAGAGAAACCCTGTCTTGAAAAACCAAAAGAAAGAAAAGAAAATGGCTCTGTATTACTTCCATCCTGTTATAATGTGTTGACCCTGCCATTGTCTTCGCTTTAAAAGAGATTGCGTTTGGGGCCGGTGAAGTGGCTCTGTGGCTCAGAGGGTTAGCACGCTTGCTGAGTTTTATCCTTGGGATAAAAGTGAAGGGAGAGATCTGAATCCCACAAATTGTCCTCTGACCGACACATATGCAACATGGTACAAACACATGTGAGTGCATATGTGAACCCAGACAACTGCATGTGCATTGGCACATACACAACCACTTGTGTGTATGCACAGTATATAAATGCATTCTTACAATGTTTTACAAAGGGATGTGTTCACTGCTCAGCCCACTCTATAAATCAATGCCTACTTGGATATTTGACTTCCTTTTTGCTGTTGCTGTTTTAAAGGTATATAATTCAGACATGCCAGACATCAAATTAAACACAAATTAAGCTTTCATTTTAATGTTTATACACCTAATTTGTGTTCTAATTGATCTCAGCCACTGATGCATGCTACTTTAGCTACTTCTCCTAAACAAGTGCATTAATTTTCCACACCAGGCCATCACCACTTAATAACCAATAGCCTATCTAGAACTCTGTGTCTGCTAATGTGCCATGTGCATGTGGCCACCATTGATTTTGCAACAAAATATAAAGTGATCATTACGTAGCTTCTAGATTAGAACATTTTTGTATGTTAATTTGCCTTGTAAAGAGCACGTTGAATCAATAGGACAGCCTGCCTGTTGTGTTAGGTGTGAGAGAAGAAGGGCTCAGTCATGTTGGGTGTTAGAGGAGGTTCAAGGTAACTTCAGGGAAGATGCAAGATTTAAAATTTAAATTTTTAGGAAAGGACAAGACACACCAATTAGGAATTATCATGGTGAAGTTCTTCATCTAGTAGGTGTTATTTGGCCATTAGTAATGTGCAAACCATAAACAATTTACAGTAAATGATTATTAATTCATTGGTGTTCTTGTCTGGATATTTCCATGGTATTTCAGGAATGTTCTCCTGAGCTCTGGGTGCCTGGTGATCACTTACATTTGACAAACTCTAGATTACCAAACACCTTGAGGTTCAGCATTGCCCATCCATCTGTCCCTTGTTACAGCCATGGAGGGGGGTGGAGGGGAAAGTCATCACATATGTGTAGAACAGGGACCCCCAGTGGTGACTCACTTCTTACTAGCAACACTTGCACTTACTCTATTTTCAGCTAGTCGGTGGGATCCCACCTGTCACCAAGAAGAACATGATGGCATCTGTTTCCACCAAGCTCTACCACTGGGGAACAGAAGTAAGGGGGGGGATTCATATTATCATCCCCAGTCCTTAGTCATCAACTCTCTATCCCAGACATCAGACATGGACTTTTCTAGCCTGCAGTTGAGTGGATTGCAGCCATCCCTGGGTACCAGACCGGTTCTCACCATGGCATTTTTCAGGGGTTTTTCATTGTAGTCCCACATTGCTAAAATCCTATATGGTATGTACTTATATTCTAGGATGAGTCTGTATGAGTATGCGTTGATGAGGAATATTTTTGTGAATCTTTGATCCCTCAAATCCCATTAATAGAACAGCATTATATTTGGAACAGCTACTTGAAATCTCACCTTGCCATAAGAGGTTATTTCCTCTACTGGTCCAACTAAACCTAGAGGCTCATGCCTCTGCACCTGACTGATCTCCATAGAACCTGTGAATGCCCCTGGCCTGGCAGGGATTAGGGAGAGAATTGAACAAAAGTTGGATCACCCTAATGTCATCAGTATTGACATTCCCAACCCCACCTAAGACCGCCCTAAAGAGCTTGCCACAGATTTTGAAGGTGTCTGTCCAAGGCAGAGAACTAGTCTCCCATGTCTTCTCTTTAACCTCTCATCCCTACAAGGCTTGCTGCAGAAGTGTCCATTTCTGAATCTAGTCAGGAGGAACCAAGGGAAGAAACTCCCGCAGTGTATGTCCCCGGGTGTCATAGTGACTACATGGAGCCAGCCTGGGATGGTGGAGCCATGAATGCACTTCATATCCCCCCTCCCCCTGCCCACTGCCCACCAGCTGTGGCGTCTTTACCTCTCGGATCTAATTTCCTTATCCGACTTAAGCCAGGCTCTGTCTAAAGTCCACTCAGCCCTAAGATTCATATCAGGACTAGAGATGAGACTATATCTGACTTCCCAAGGTAGTGCCCGGTCCTTTCTGGAACCTGGCTGGTCAAAACGAAGAAAAAATAGTTGTGTCTTCTCGGGAGGACACAGGCTGAGGCTGAGGCTGAGGCTGAAGGAATGGAGTGTGCTTGGTGTAGAAACGAATCTGTATTTCATTCATTCCCCAAATGTGATGAAGCAATGGCACCCTGCCAAGAAAAACTACAGGATGAGCAAAGCGACACAGGGTGTCCTGCCACAGTGCTGGATGCTGTATGGAGCCCAGGAGACATCAGCAGAGGGTGGGTGGCACGTGCTGCCAGTGGAGTGTAGAGCCAGGGCCACAGACCGGAAGCCTCCAGGACTAATTTTGGTGTTCATCAGTTGGAATCTGTTATTCTGGGTCTCCCTCTGTTTGAAGAAGCCTCAGTACTGAAGAACAATTGTGTGTATTGGTTCGTTTTTTACCTCAGCAACGAAACACCCAAATAAACAGCTTAAAGGAACAGTTTTTATTTTGACTCACTTGCAAAACACCAGCAAGTGGCAGAGGCAGAGTTGAGACAGGAAGATGCTATGACAGCACACTTGCATCAAAGTCATGTCCCCAGGGACCTACATTCTTCAACCAGGCCCCACCCTCTCATTTACATAATCCATCAATTTCTGAACCCACTGAGGAGGTGGAACCCTTGTGGTCCATTCACTTTCCCCAAACCCACTGACTGGCCACAAAGCCTTTACCACATGACCCTTTGGGGCACACTTCACCCCCAAACCTTAACACTGTGTCTCCCAGCATAGTCTCTGTCCTCTGGCTCCTCCTTGCAACTCACATTGCTCCTATCCGTGGTTCAGTTGGGAGCTAGGACACAAGGTTGGTGAGGAGGGAGTTCAAAGCTCATAGATAAGGTAGCTTTAGGGTTACTCTTGTGAGGTTTGTGTCTTTATTTCAGTCCTGTCCCCAGACACAGGGACACTGAAGCACAGCTATGTCCTCATTGGCCGATGATGGGGGAAAAAACAAGGAAGGAAACACACACCTCACTCTAACTTCTGTGATCCCTTTGTTCAAGTTTCCGAATTTCCAGGAGTCAGTCAAACTCTTTTCCTCTACGTCACGGAAGCTCTATAAATGAACTGGAACCTTCTGTCCACGTCTCTCTGCCATTTCCCCTGCAGATCTCCTTGCCCAAGGCCCCACCCCACCCCCACCCCTGGGAATATTCCTGATTTATAAATTTGCAACTTCAGAAGCAAGAGGCAACGGGGCGGCTGTGCTGCGGGCTCAGCTTCTTCCTTCCCTCTTGCTCTCCACGGTATCTCTGACTCTACGTGAGTCACATCTTGATGGTGACTGTCTCACAGGACTCTGAAGTTCTTAGGAAGGCCTCTGAGAAGAGGCACCTCCTGGCTCCTGCTTTTTGTTTTTGAGGAAGCAAGCCTTAGGCTCCTTGTCCATATCACATCTTATGACATCCGTGGATGAAGTGACTTGAATGAGGTATAGTTACACTTTTTTTTTTTTTTTTTTTACACTGAATTTTAGGTTCACAGCCCTGGTCTGGGGGAACCTGTGAAGGTGGCAGGTCTCCCTGATGAGGTAAAGGAACAGGAAAGCCTCAATCAGCTCCTTGGCTCTGCGTTTGCTATGTGGCAATTGCATACAAAAGTATGAACAGTTCCACCAGACTTCTGCCTCGGAACTAAGGGCACTTAGGCATCTGGCATCTGAAAGTGCTTCTTCCAGAGGGGCCAAGCAGTGAACACATCCATTTGCACCACGGTTCTCTGCAGCTCCTGCTACTGAGTGACTTGTAACAGGGTCAAAATCCTGAGGGTCAGGTTCGCAGGCTGTATATATTTCCATTACAGCTAACCATCTCGGGGAAGGAGCAGTCTCAGTATGGGTGATTTGGTCTGTATGGTTTTAAGGCACAATTTACAAAGTGAGGACCTTGATTTTCGCTTCTATATGTAAAGCCGGAGGACTAGGTCACTCTTATATCAAAAACAAAACAGTACTTTTTTTTTCTAGATTTACTTTATGCATGTGTGTTGCTTGCATGGGGGCATGAACATGTGCCATGTGTGAGCCTATGCCTTCAGAGGTCAGAAGAGGGCATTGAATTCCCTGGAGCTGGAATTACAAATGGTTGTGAGCCACCACATGAGTGCCAGGAACCAAACTGGTCCTCTGCAAGAGCAGCAAGTGCTCGCAACTGCTAAGCCAACTTTCCGGCCCTTCAACAGGTCACTTTGATATGGCTTTGTTTGTCCCTAA